TTGTTCATATTACTTGATAATAAAGAGCACATGCAGTTGAATAAGGGGATCGGAAGTATTTTCAAACCCTTCGTCCATTAAATGCTTAGCAAAAAATCTGAAAAAATTCTCGCGTACTTTAGAGATGACGATGCATATTAGAGAATTTTTATAAATTTTTCGCTGGGCATTTAATAAGGAGAACGCGTGGCAAAAAGATGAAAACCTATTAACCTCATAATTACACTCGTGGTCAAGATAGAGGACTGAGAACTGGTATGAAACGTTCTTTTGAATACTTTATCGAATGGACCAACGGGAGACTAATTTGATTCAAGGGTACTTTTCATCTCATCTGGCTACACTGTTTCACAATGGAAAACGTATGCAAGATTGATCAAAGCATCACATTAAAATATGAGTTTAAAAGCCACGAAATGGAAGATTGCAGAAATAAGTTCTTCCTTTCATGGTATGTCACGGTTTTTCAGTTGGTGCGATAACACATGTTGGGACGATTTCAACGATGTTCTACTGTAAGTTGTCTAGTTTTATGGTAGATCGTAAAAACATCAGGCCCCAAGGAACGATATCAACGAATATCCACGGCCAATTGCACTTTCTTTAACCAAGTTTATAATTCAAGTGAAACTTCAAAATTTAGTCCTCATGACTTTACAATCACCCTAAACTGACATTATTGATTTTGTTTCAATAAGTGTTATTCCATCAAGATTAAATAGGATTAAAACTCGATGTACAAAAAGATAAATCATATCAAATAACGTCTTCCATCTTTTTGTTTATAACATATCCTTCAGTAATTCGTTAAAATAGTTAGTATCGACCGATTTACGTGCTGCATTGAAAATTACTTCTCCTATTCCTGGCTATGGCAATCCATTAAGGATAGATGAATCGATTAATGACAAAGGAATAATTTCTAATGCAACTAAAAGAAGATGAGCTAAATAGCAATAGTGAATTGTTTGTACAGCAAGGAGCACGAAATACGTCAGGTATTCGATCAATTCGCGATTCAGCCAGCTTGAAACAAGATTTCACTCGTTAGGCGAGAACGAACAGCTTTCATGCTCGTGCCTCGGTTATATACGAATCACCCCTTTCTCCCTCGGTTTCAAACGACACGGAAGACCTCGTTGCCGCGGGCCTAACGTTAATGCGCGTGATTTTCTTTTCACTCCCTCTGGTGAGACCGAAGAGCTAGCTAGTGCTGCTGTTTGCTCTACGATGCTTTTCACGATACAGAAAGGGGTTGTCGAGGAAGAGAAACACAAAAAAAAAAAAAATACGTTGTACTCTAACGGAAAGTATATGTGATTACGCCAACAAAGGTAGGAAGTGAAAACGATGTTTCAAATAAAATAATTTCTAAATATACTGCATTATTATACTATATCATTATTTTCAAAGTTTTTCCTGTTTCAAAGGTCTTCAAACAAATTAATAAATTATTCACTTCATTAAATAACTAATGACTATTACTTATCCTTTTGACCAATTTGAAATTATCTCCATGAACTCGAAACCTGAACTACACAAAAGTGGAAAGAAGATTCTAAAAAAGGTGTGCACGCGTTTCTAAAGTCCATAGACGAGAATAGACGAGCAGAGAATATGTTCCATATACCAAAAAAGGTTCTCAGGCCGTAGGTATTTGTTAGATTTGCTAATTAAGCGTCGAATGAAATATTGAAAAGAATGTCGTCACCGTGTGCGGCGGCGCTTGTACGCGGGTAATTGGAATATGTAACGAACACGTAAAATGAATAAAACCGGTGAATTTCCTCGAGTTTTACCGTAGGTACCGTAAGTATACGCTTTTTCCAACGGTACGGTAAGGGAAACCCTGAATTTACACCGTTTCTATTATTTGCGGAGCCATTTCTCCGTCGAATTCTTTTTCATGAATATTAACGGTGAACCGGTTGGAGAGTCTTACTTTTTTTCATACATTATAAGCCGAGGACTCCCTGGCATACCGTAATAACCGACCTTCGAGGAAGAGCTTTTTCTCTCTTTGGAGTCGGGAACCGCCGACAATTAGGGGAAACAATCAATTCTCTTTCCTTTGCACTCACCTTGGCGAAGTCGATCTTCAGTGTGCAGCAGCCGGAGTATATGTCTGCTCCGTGAAGTGTCTCCTTCGCCCTCGTTGCCGATTCGACCGAGTCGAACGTGATTTTCGAAAGGGCTTAGTTAAGGATATATAAGTAGAAGTGTTTTAAGTAATCACGAATTTGTCGATTAAAGGGGATCTCTGAGATTATTCAATATAGTACATAATTTATGTTTCGTTAATGAGGAAGCAAATTCTGCTTTTGATAATGATCAAAAATATAGAAAAACAAAAAATCATTGAAACATGTAATTTTGTTTTAAACTTAAGTTAATTGAAAAAAAGATATTTTATATGAAACAGCCATAAGACGACCGATACGCTCATCCATTATACCATAATTTATTCGTCGAGGTTCGATCTAAACTACGAAAAGCTCACGATAACTGACACTGCAACCGTGTCACTGGCGAGTTTTGCTTATAAATCTTCATTGCGCCATAACGGCAGAACGTGACTGGCAAACTTTACCGTCGAGGGTCATTTAAAAAAAAAAAGGGAGGAAAAAATGTTACTGCGCGGAGATCCTCTTTCGGAGCTTTAAAGCCCCGTTTATCGCGCTTCGAGAAGCTCGAGGGGGCTCATACGTAAAATGCGATTTGAATCGAGCGGGTAGTGGGTGAGTATATGTATGTATGTATGTATGTATGTATTGTAAAGGATATTCGACCATCGCCTGAACGCCGTTCTTCTTGAAGATAACGATGCGTTGTACTTGCCCGCTGGGCGCACTGATAGTGTGCAATACTTCCTGTAACACAAAGTATAATGATACATTAGTAGATATTGCGATTTAACCCTTTCTATGTCAGACACGTGTCTAACAATAAACTTTCTCTGTATCGAGAACTCTGTCGCAGGTTCCCACTTTACAGGTAGAATTATATGCATCTATGTATAGATCATTATGTTATTACCGACTGAAGTCGGTTTTCGTATTGGAAAGGTAGACATGAAGAAAAGGTGAGATATTTCACTTCTCACTTTTTCGACAAGATATAGTAATTTGAATTTCATTATAACTTTTGGGATATAGTTTAGATGAAATATAAATCAAATTATTGGCTATTTATTATTTTTCAATATAAAGCTTCAGATAATAATAATTTTCACATAGAACTTTACACTATTTCGCAATAAATATAATTTCAGAAGTATGTCAGGTTTCAGGTCATACGTGACTTAATAAAATTCATACAGTCTGTACACTTTTAAAAATTGAACGTATTCATGGATGTATATAATCAGAATAAATTCCATCGTGTAAAATAATAGAAAGGAAAAGAATGTTGACGGCACACACACGTCACGTAAAATGCAGGCAGACGCGTGAAGTATTTCTCGCAATACATCTCAAATTCAAATCCAACATCTTTCGTGCACAGACACACGGACCTCTTACTCCACCGGCATGCGGAATAAGGCTTCGAAAAGGTTCGTTGGCCACTTTTGAACGTGTTTTCCAGCCAACCGCACGTCATATAAAGCGGTGAGTAAATTTATATCAGGTTCTATGTCAAGCTTTTTCTCGAGCCTGTATAACTTCCCATATTGTATTACCTTTACTTATTTATTACCTATTTTTAGTGAAACGGTATAACTTCCGCATGCATATGATGACAATTGAAAAGATTCAAATACTGGCGACATCAGATTTCTTGCCGAGTTAAAAATTGATATCAAATGGAAATCTGTGCTCTCTCCAAGTCAGGTAAAGTTAAAGATAGAAATCTTTATGGAATCGACCTAGATAAACTGAATGATAAGTTCAACGCTTATGGATGTTTACGAAAGATTTGATCAAGAGGTTTTAAAACATTTCGATTCTCGATAGCCGCGAAACACATAGTACCATTATAATATTGCGTTATTACTAATAATTATGAACCTGTTAAACTGTTTAAATGTTCGTGCATGTTAATATTCATAACACAGGGTTCATGATTAAAAGAGCAAGAAACATGGAAACCAGTTAAGCTTCTATCTACATTCGACCAACACTGAACTGCAATTTGATCTCAATTGGAATTCTCAAGACCTTGCTGATTCCTCAACCGCGTTACCATTCGTTTCGCAGCACAAACTCCATTTCATCATCATTGGAATACATCATTCGGTTAATGATACGTAGTACAAATATCAAGGTTTTGGTTAATTATCCGATGATTTATGAACGGGAGGGTAGAACGCATGTCTTCGACTTTCAAATATGAATTAAAGTTTTATCGAGGCGTTCTGGTTTCACCGGAAGCTTGAAAATAATGCGACGCGAAACACCCGGAAACTTATACCGCTAGTTCAGCGTAAAAACCGGGTCACTTTTTTCCATTCGCAACTACTTCATAAACTTTTTGTAGTTACGACAAGTTCGCCGACGTCACAAAGTATTTTGCATTAACCAGTTCTGAATTTCCACTTTTTCATTCAATGAAGATATATTGCACGATCAGACATCCTGATGCGCGAAGGAATCTAATTATTCCGATTGCATATGACTATAAAAACACGAAAACTTCCGCAATTTAATTTCAAATATGTTTAATGCAGGAATATTTTCTAACCTCTTTATCTTAGAAAAAGTTGTGAACATTAGAGCTCATTAGTTGCAAACATACATTTTACATAACTATCTTGTACAGTGAAGTAGCTTTACGATATTTGTCACACATTACCTCTGATTTGAATAGTATCAAGGATTCAAAGAGATGGAGACAACGATTATATTGTAAGAAGATTCACTATCTGAGATTTCCGATTGGTATGTAGGGAAGGAAATTGAAAGCACTTGAAGAAACCGCGTTCCTCCTACCGAAAGGTAACCGATAATTGAAGACGCTTTTGGGACCAGGTGGATGTTTACCTGTAGCTTCAACGCCGGTAAACTCCGGTACGAACAATGACGTAGCATGGCGTCTTGCCAAACTCACTTTTAAGCTGCAGCCTCTCTCGCTCCGAGGATGCCCTCGCATTCGGACGAGTCGCCAACCAACTCATGAATATCGTTCCACCCCTGTAAACGACGGGATCACGCATGGCCAATGGAATCCTTTTAACCGGAAAAGTATATCTTCCGGTCAGGTCGCACACTGTCGACAAACTCGGGATCCTCGTGTCATCAATTTCCTCCACGATCTATTTTTCTTCCACGTTTCACGAGATCCGAGTGAAACCAACGCTCATTCATTATTCGTGCCTTCCGCTGGATATCAACTACGACCGTCAACGAATAAAAAACTGTTAGATCCAATCGAAAAGAATCGTCTGTCTTCAGTCACGTATTAATCTTGTTGAGAAAGATTTGCAGCAAAAACATAATCGTTTAAAGAAATATGAATATCACTGATAAAAAAAAATACATAAAAAGCAGTGAGAAGTTTTTTTTTATTAGTTCTTCGCAACTCCTGTCGAGGAAAACGTTTACGAGTAATTGAAAAGGTAAATCATTTCCTTAACAAAGTTCGCGGTAAGAAGAAACAAACGGTGCGTAATGCACGATTCGATGAATCGGGGCAACGGTACAATGCTTGCTTCTGCTTGCACGCATTCTCGTGGCTTGGACTTAATTATCCGGCGTTTCCATCGCATCGAAGGCGCGAAGAAAGTAAAGCTCCTTTGTACGATCCATGGCTGGGATAGGAGATCTTTTGTTGCATCTCTGGCGTACAGCACAGTGTAAATTCAATACCGACCGCGTGAGTTCTTGCCTTCCCCGTTCTCTCGCGTACTGTCGATCTTTAACAAAGCCCGTCCCCGTTCTTCTCTCCCTTCGCCTTAAACGATACGGCCAAGGAGCGAATCGGGAATCGCGATAAGAATATATAGGTAATCCCTTCGACCGTTCTCTTTGTTCCGTGCTTCGTTGCCCGAGGTACGATATCGGAGTCGACAGAATATGCTAATGGAATCTGTGTCGTGGAATCGTTTAATAAAATCGTCCGGCGAAGAAAGAAAGGAGGAAGAGGGAGTGAGCGATAAAAGGGAAACGAGAAAAGTTCGATTCGTCGAGCAAGAGATGGATTGAAAGTCTGATAAAAAAAAAGAGGGACGGAAGAGTGAAAGAAAACGTTATCCGATGGGTAGACGGGTCAAAGAAACCGCGGCAGACTTTAATGAAAGCTCGCGCTTGTTTGAGTACCAGGCAAAATTAAGAAATACACGTATTCCTTTATTAGTAGTAAAAGACGACGAACTTGAGATTACTCCGCGAGAAGAAAATATACTTTAGGATTTCCTTTTCACCAACTAGTCCCGGAGATTGCTGGAGAGATGAAAGAGTTCGCGGTGATTACTAAGCCGAGGCGGATGTAACGTGTAAGTTTTTATTCGTGATGCAGGTGTAGGAGCACGAAACTCAATTTCAGACAGTTGCACTATCTCAGGCTAGTCTCCGCGACTCTGGATATAGTCGGGATTAAGTCTGACCATTTCGGATTGTGCCCGGATTAGGTAACCGCGACAAGGGGGTGGTAACCGGTCGGATTCCACGATTTCATCGAGTCTCGCCAAAATCGGTTCACTGCGAATTGTAAACTGTCTAAATTGAATCTTGCTCGTTCGAAGGTCGTTAAAACCTATTTATACGACTCCAAAATAGTCGACGTGATATATACGATCCGGTAACGATAAGGTCGAGATTCGGACAAGCTATCACCCAGCACGGTCAACATCAAAATCTGATCACTTGTTGTAATCCAAAAAATCACTTAATATTGATAAATTGCTAATTTCTACTAATAATTTTTGCTTCACGCATTGTGATTTAAAAAATAAATTTCTATGATAAATTTACATCTACAGACAGAAACTGTATCAATTACTGTATAACAATTGTCATAAAAAACGTAATATCAATTAGTATATGAATTATTATATCAATCTTCATATGAAACATATCAAATATTATATTAATCCTTACAATTATTATACGTATGAAATGTTGTATTAATTTTTAGTATGAAACTCGTGATCAACAGTGTAAGAAGCAAATGATTTAAGAGAAAGAAGTACTTTTACGTTGCTGTTTACTACGATTTTGTATCGCGTTGTTCTCTAGTGGTTATTGATCGAGTTTTATAAATGACCAAAGACTAATCGCGTTAAATCGTCGAGAGCACGGCTTGATGAATTAAATAAGATCTCAGGCTTTCCGATTGATTCCCCCCGGCAAACTTTTTCTATTATTAGGACTGGTGGGCTCTCCTTGATTCCCGGACCCCAGAATCTTCGCCCCTAATCCCATTCAAGCTTGACTGTGAGAGAGCGTGAAAAAGTGATGAAGCGTCACAATTACGAGATCAATTTGTTCCGACGGTCCGAGAAACGGTACGAAGATGCTCTGTCGAGCGCCGAGAATACCTGGAAACTACGTATTTCCCCCGAGTACAGTGTCCTACGATTCCGCATACATACATGCAAGCAACTGTGAAACGGAGCGCCGGAAGGAGCACCGAAGCTGGCTGGAAGCGATTTAATAAATGTGTGACACAAACTCGCGAGTCGAGGCGTCGAATTGAAAGGACAAATTGAAAGCCGACCAGATACGTTTACCTCCTTCGCACGGCACATTCACGTCCAAACGCTACATCGTTCATACGATTAAAACTGAAACCAAACAACTCTGGAGTGTATCGACTTTTTTCTGAGTCCATTATGTCCGCGCTTGCGGTATACAAATACGTTAGGTATAAAAGCTATTTAGAACGAGCGAACCTTTCAAGACGGATTTCTGTATTCTGGATATATTTCTCGAGG